GGATAGGATTCAAAGTAATTTAATTAGCAGAATTTTTCATTTTTAGGCGATTGAAGTAGGAGCAAAAGCATGTTAAAATCATTGAAAATCGTTGCTACGTTTTCAATAACAAGAAGATATAGATTGCATTATTCTCGCTCAAAGCAAGACGCTTTTGTCTATCGCCCCTTCGTATCAAAGGCTATCGATACGCTCGCAGTGAAATAATAAAATTGACGCTTTTATTTCAATCGTAGCTTCTCTCTCTCTCTCTCTCTGCTCGAAGCCGGAACGTTAATAACGACAAAGCGAAGAGCCGAGACTGTGCATCGAGGTACCGTGGGATCCGCGGGCATCCGAGCATCCCTCGTCGACGTTGACGTGCGCACCGTTCGCCTTTACCGAGTGTGAGATGCGTTTTTCAGCTTCCATTTGCAGACAATCGACGCGGTAATCACGGGTTGGGCGCCGGAAGCCGGAGAAGATATTCGCGCGCTCCCAATCAGATAACCCTTCTTAGCTGCCTCGGGTCTGACCTACCTCCTTCTCCTCTCTCGCTCTCGCCTCCCCTCACGTGCGCGAATGAGTTACGCGAACAATGGGACAAAGTTAACGCGATTTCATTCATATCGGCTATAATTTCATTCAATTTATTTATTTAATTCTTATTTTCTATAGTGTATCTTTGTATCGTGTATAAGATTCGAAAGATACTCATTTATCTCTATCGTTGGGAACGTTTCGAGATGCGATTCGAAAAAAAGCTAACAGTAGTTTATATGAAGTCCCGGTGATTGACAGGAGAATCCGGAGGATTAGGTCTCCGGAAGGCCGTGGCAGCTACCGGAACCGTCCGCGTGACAGTCGCGGGGTCCCCGAGCTGACAAGGTTCCGCGTAAGAGCGAGGCGGCCAAAGGCGGATCCTTTTTACGGGCGCGCATGTTCTCGCGATCGTCAATTACCCGGACGACAAGCGGCGCTGCTTTTTGCGAGGCCAGTCGTGGAGGAGCGTCGTCGTCGTCGTCGTCGTCGTCGTTCTCCTCCTCCTCCTTCTCTCGTCCTCGCGACGCTTCCCGATCGGCTGTTGCACCGAGCCCGGAAGATCGCCTGGGCGCTCGTCTCCCGCGGGGAAACGTGCCATTTATCCACGTCAGCCTCATTCACCGACACGCACACGACGCCGGGGCCCCGCTCGCAATCTACGATCCTTACCCACGTGACGGTGCCGCGCATAAATACACTTCATGCGCACGCACTCGTCCTCCTCGCCGCGTCCTTCCTCTTCCTCCTCTTCTTTTTCCTCCTTCGCTCTTACCTTCTGAGAAAGCGAGGCTCTCGCAGAACCGGGGAACGAGCGAGCGCTTGTGTGAGGACGCGAAACTAAGAATAGATCCCAGATAACCAAAGATACTTGGAAGGAAAACAATACCTGGGGAAACGAGGCGATGGAAGAAAATCAGATGGATGGCAAGTGTCTCTGATGTACTTACAATTATATTATTCTCATTAGATAATGTCACCATTATCTATTGTAAGATACTAGACAAGTTAACCCCAAGTTCATCAGCGACGCCCTAAACCGATCAAAAATCACCCGTGTATCAAGGATATTTGAACAATTTTCCTCGAGGGAGAGATTCGAAATTCGAGTCTATCCTGCCAGGGAATAATCGCGATATACAAGGGGCCAATTGAAACATCCAGGCGTAACTGGGAAGCAAGTTCGCACCCAGGTTTGATCGCTCGAAGGATGCGCCGCGAAATTTCCGAGGGCAGTGTACGCGCGTTCCGTTTATCCTCCTCCTCCGGCGTTTACGCGCATCGTCCTTTCACGCGTGCGTGCAGAGCCATACGTAAACGGGCGAAAAAAAATTCACAGGTGGAAGAGAGCCCGGCATCCTGCCGGCCCCGTGCGGATAGACGTCGCGATAAAACGCGGAAATTAACCGTTATACCCTCGCACTTATTCAGTCTTTACGCGAGCCGGGAGATAACGCGGCGAGAGCGCGTCGTATTTTGCATAATGCAATTAGGGAAGAGGCCAGGGGGGAGAGGGGAAGAGCCGCCCCCGCGTCTCGTCGCGGGACCACGCGCTCATAAACGCTCCCGTGGAGGCCGCGAGCCGAGGATCCGTTAAAACCATTCTTCGCCAGGTGTCTTGAATTACTTTCCGTGGTCGGCGCGCGGCGAGGGGGAAGGAAGACCCACTTTTGTTCGGTCTCTGAAACGGGGAGAACCTAACGGGGTACCGTTCCGTTCCCGTCTTCTAGCGACTAGCCATCTCTAGAGCGCCAACGCGACGGTCGATTACCATTTCGCTGGTCGCGCTAGTCCACATCCGGTGTCATCTATCCGCCGTGATCGATGATGCCGAGGATCCCGCGGTGACGCGGCAACCTCTTTAGCAAGACTCTCCTCGCAACTCTTAGGTGGAATTGGCTTAACGTTAGGTCGAGTAGAAGGATGGAGATGCATAGTGACGTCCGAACAAATGCTGAATCATTTCTGTATGAATTAATTATCATAATCGTCCGATAGTCTTTGCAACGCTGAGTACAGTCAGCTGTGATTGAGGATCATGTTAATATTAGTGCTAAACGTTTGATGGCAGAATTTTGCGGAAACAACGATCGCGACAGTTGTGACTGGAAGAGGGAACGTTTCCACGTTCGATCGAGAGATTTTGCCTTCCGTTCTAGGGCCAACTAGAGCCGGTGGAAGCAGCCCTCGGCTCGCACACATGTCCTCGATTCATTCATTCATTCGTAACACGACGTGCCCTTCTGACGTTTCGCCCTGAAGACGAGACGAGAGAAAAAGACACGACGGATCCGTGCACCGGGCAGCGCCAGTTGCTGTCAGCATCCACCAGATGACTCCCATTCTCGGCAGAATCCGCGAGTGATGCTGGCGGGAGAGCGTATTTCCATCTCTCCATCCGGCTCTCCCCATCGTCCCTGATGTCGGCGCGACTCGGTCCAATCGGGCAACGGCTTTCTCGTCGTTTCGTGATCGCTATTGGCCAACACCAGGCGAGTTTATATCGAGCGGACGTCGGAGGGCTGCGCCTCGACGGAGGCTGCTTACCCTCATCTACCCCGCGAGGAGGGAGAGAGAGAGAGAATGAAAGAGAGAGAGAGAGAGAGAAGCGCGAGAGGAAGAAGAAGCGAGAGCGGGAGATAAGCCGACGAGGCTTGGTCGCTGCTGCCACCGCCGTCGCTTCTTCTTCATCTTCTTCGTTAGTATCGTTTCCAGCCGTCTGTCCCTCCAGAAAGTCTCTGATCGATATGACAGCATCCTCCTCCTTCGTCGCAATGACAGCTTTCTTATGCGCGCGCTCCATTCGCGTTGGCTTGACTCGGAATTGTACATGCGATTGAATTAGATCGGATCTGATTCAATCAATAATCCCCAAGTAGAACGCAATTCTCGGCAAACTTTTCACCAGTATTGAAAAATACACTTGCTCACAGATTATGTCATAATGAGAACCGACAGATTTCATTTTTGGAGCATCATTTGGAGGAAGCTTTTAATTTCCAATTAATTTTACGCAGCGGGTGTAATGATTGCCGATTGAAATTAAAATGTTATTCCAAATTATCGTGATTAATTAATTGTTTAAAGAATTAAGAACCTCGCGAGTCTTGGAACCCACCGGTGGAGACGCGTCAAGATTAACAACTCGCGCGTTAATAGAAGGTTCGATTTCTAGCGCCAGCTTGATCGCCCACCCGCTGTTAATAAGCCTAATGAGACATCAGGAGCGAAAGGATTCTGTCGCACGGATTCCGTCGCGATGAATTTTCGCCTCAAGCGCGTGTCTTTGCGTCAAACTGCTTTCGCTGTCGTTCTCGGCCAAATATAGTCGATCGAGTGTGAACGCATCAATCAGGCAAATCCGGAAGAACTGGTCGAACAATCTATCCCCGACTGTCACCAGTCTTTTCTTCAGTCGTAATTAAAAGGCGAGAACGAAAATACATCAGACTCGCGAATCACAAACTATTATATTTGTTAGATTGTATGGGAAAATTTCAAGGTATTTAAATTCTAAAACTTAAAATTCAATCTGAAATTTAAAATTGTCAAGTTTTCAAGTACCTCAGAATTTTAAATATTTTCAGTAGTTTCCCGATATTTAAAGGCTGCGGAATTAAAGAATTTCGTGGTATCTTGCAAAATTTGCAACACGCGAGTTTCCACGCATAATAAAAATATTCAAAGATGCAAATTCTCGATGTGATTCCAAGCGAGGGATAGCGAACTCTTGTTAGGAGAACGACTCCAGTCGACTGTTCCCGAGGAGACAGAGTGACAAATTGGTGGCGATATTAAAATCGCCGCGGGAACACGTTTTTCGCCACAGCTGGCGTCGTTTAAGTTATAATTTGTACCTGTACGCGTGACTGACGCGTGACTAACCACTCGCGTGTCACGTCATTTCTCTTCCCGGGAGCTCTTCCCATTGGGATACCCCGATTGCAAATTAATTGAGAGTGAAATGTGAGCGAGCGCTTTGCGACCGAGACGTCGCGGCTAATCATGAATAATGAATGTCGCTCGAGCGCAGTTTGGAACGCTTCCGGAAGCACGCGAAATCGATGATGTCACCGGAAGGAAATGGAGTGGAAAATTAAACAATAATTGAATAAAGTTGTTACACGAGCCTCTCTTGGTAATTTCACACGAAGCAGATTTTTTCAGAGAGATTTTAATTAATTTTCTTTTCGCAAAAATTACATCATCGAAAATATCTGCAAATTAAAAAGAAAAACTTGATTTTCCTCTCAATTAATCTTCAATATTTGAAGTTTTAAATTCGACAGCAAGTTGGAATCTCTGAATTATTTCAGGTTCAAAATAACAATAATTACGTAATCCCTAATGGATGATAATCTACGAAGATAAAATTGAGATGAGATAAAGTAGATTCTAAACGATACAAAGAGAGAAAGAAGAGGGGGGATCATAAATTACAAGACAATATGTTTCAAGAGAAATCCTAGAGGGAAACGCGGCGATACCTGAACAAACAACATTATCACCAATATCAGGAACGCGGACGACAACCATCGCTGAAAGACAGACAGAGCGAACTATTTTCCCGCGAAAAGGACAAGGAGAGGGAAGGAGAGAGAAAGGGAGACAATGGGGAAAGCCGCAAAGGCGCCGGCGCAGCGCGCAGACGCCGGGCGTCCCGACGTCTCTGCACCCCTCGAAAACCCCACCCCGTCCGCGCCCGGCGAGATCGCAGCATGAGGGGATCGCACCAACCCCGCTACCCTGCCGTGGTGACGTCCGCCCCTGGCCCCGGGTGGCCGTTCTCTCCAGGATCGTAATATTATGCCGACGGGGAGCAGCTTCCATCGCGAGTCCGCGTCCTTCGAACTTCCTTCTCCGGCCGACGACGGCTCTTTCGCGAGTTTCCCGCTCGCGGACGTTTCCGGCGCGACCAGTTTTCCGCCCGCGACTTTTCGCGCGTGATTTCCGCCTGGAAATTCTCTCCCAGTCTCTCGCGTTCGCGAATCCGCGTCCTTCTGGCTCAAAAGTTTCTTATCCCGTCATTCGTGAATCCTTCGACTCACCAACTCTGGATTTATCTGCGGATGAATCTGTTGATTGTAAAGGAAGTGTAAGAGGGTGCTCCAATTTGTGATAGGGTAAACTCGAAACGGTGATTAGTGTTATGCTCATGTTTCGCATCTTAAGATTCGAAGAAAGGAAGAATCGGTGTGTCTCGAAGGGATCAAAGGACCTAACGAGGATGCGGTGCTTTAGAAGAAGAAAATGAACTGGTTAGTGTAAATGGAATCAGAATTGTGCGAGAGATACAATTATCCGACGGCTCGCGATCAAGATGATGGCTTAATTTTCGTAAATAATCAAACATCTCTAAGGATCCGTTTAATTTCCAAGAAGAAATGATTCAAAAATCCAAGGATTTTAACAATTAACAAAATCTGCAAAAGTCTAAAGATATACCTCATAATCTAAGAATTTAAAAATCTAAAAATCTAACGTCCTGTCTGAAATTATATGCATCTTTTAATCGTCAAAAAAGACTTCAAAAATTTCAGGATCTATTTGTTAATGTAATACTTTTTATTTATAGTAAATTTTTAATATTTTTATATGAAAAAAATAACGCGAAAAAATTCCAAGTTGATGTGTAACGCATTCAATTTATTATTGGCACGAATTTGTGACGAAAGTTTTGTGGATTTTGCTAACCGCAACCGTGATTCAAACCATATCTTTTTGTAAAAGATGAGTTAGCCAACATGTCACTTTAGATATTGGCGACCACCCCGATCTCTTTCTTGCCTAACCGCATTAGAGATCCAAAGATCTTACTCAACTCTCCTTCAATCAAAAAACTTATTCTTTTTCTAATAAATTTAGAATTCTTCAATTTATAATTAGTTAATATCATTCACAAAATTTTTCAATCAAATCATAAAAGTTAAAAGAATTGAATATGAGAAAAATCATTAGCTCTTATTTTAAATTAATCGATAAATTAAATTATATAATTTGATTGTTCAATTTTTTCTGAGCAGTCAGTTCGCGAGTGCACAGTTAAATTTTTTAAATTCAAAATATGTAAATTACATGAATAGATAAAATCTTGCTGCGATTGCACGAGCACTTTTCGCGGCGCGAATTATCACGAAACGATGAACCGAAATTTCGTTGAGAGAAATTATTCTCCTTGCACTTTCGCGGCTTTTCTCTTGTCCAGAGCATGATTGATGACCGCAACAACTGCCTGGTCAGTCTGAGGCAGCCGAGACCGTCGGAATATCCGGCGTTGGAACCGCGCCGCGTGTTCTGGAAAAGCCGGCGAGTCCAAGGTGACCGCGATTTAGATGGAAATAGCCAAGCGGGAATAAATTTGACCGCGAGAGCTTCGTCGTCGACAAGCGAGAAACGAGAGACGATCAGCAGCGAAATTCGCCGTCGCGTCTCCGGCGATTTAACCGATTTCAGGTGAGTTAAAGCGATCTCAAAGTAACATTAGTCTCGGAGTGTGTTCACTTGGTTTGTCTTACTTTGTCAGAGATGAAAAAAGTAAAGATTCTTTACTAAGATGTCAAAAATCATGCTTAAAAAATTGTCGACAAAAATTGCATTCGCTTCAAAAACACAGTCAATTATTAAAACATATATACAAAGCAGAGCGTTAATAAAATTTGTGCAGTTTAATCATGTATTTTTTTTTTATATTAAAAATATATGCGCAAACAATTTAATTGTAGAATATTTAAATTTTTCAAAAGAAAAATTTTCATGTAATATAAAATATAATTTCATATAATTTCATATAAAATAATTTATTTACTTTCATGTAATAATTTAGATAACGGAGAAATTTAGAAATTCGACAATGATGTAATTTCCAAATAAACACGATACTTCAATATTACTGCAATTTGATCAAATATATACATTTGATCCGTTAATCTGGATATTCCGCTAATGCTTTCGGTGCAAATGCAATTTCGCTGACGTAACCACGCGTGCATTTCTCGCTGCGGAGATTCTGTTATCGAGGGATCGCGAATCGATTTTATGGAAATATGGCAACGCGATAATATCAGAAAAAAAAATATCTCTCTTTCCGCGAGCTATTGCAGACATAACGCCGCCGCGATGCAAATCCGCATGCATTTTGCTTTTCACCTGGAACAATGCTATTTCCAAGGATTAATTAACATCGATGAATCGTGTTGTTGTGATCGGCGTTGCGTTGCACGCGAATAATACTTGAGACGATGTTTCCGGTATTCGACATTGCTGGGAGATTGTGAAAGGACATGTTTTGTACGTGTGTTTCAATTTAAATCTACTTTGTGCACATTTGATTGATTTTAAAGATCAACGATTTTCAAGAATAGATCCAGATCTGTTAAAATTTAATTTTCATGAAAAGTTTCTTGCTACTTCCTTTCCCTCAAGATGATTATCTAGACGAGAGACATCGCGTTGATTCGCGAAATCGCGAAGATCAGAAAATCGAGAGAAAACCGTTCATTAACAGATCGCTGATAACGAATTGTTCGTTCATCAGCTTTATTCACCTGGGCAGCGTGTTCTGAACGCCTCTACATTAATCATGATTCTTAAGGATTCTAAAGTCTCAGATCCTCGAGTTTTATTCTTTCAATAGCAGAAAGAAAAATCCAGGGTTTTATACAAACGTCAAACAATCAATTTTATAATACGTTGACGTTTATGACGTCAAAAATTCTAAAGTCAATGGCTTCTAAAGCCTATAGATCAATGATCGATCCAATAAAAGAGATTGAATTATTTAGGCAATTTATAATTCATGATAGAATTTAAGGCAGAAATAATTTTACATGCTGTACTATCATGTGTGTATAGATCCTGGCATATTTTAATTCCTCAAGTATGTTTCCTGTATCGTGTAAAATTAGAAACAAATCTGTCTCAAATTTTGTCACAAATTACACAAATTGCCTAAAACAAAGAACGTATATTGAATATTGTCTGGAGAAACTTGCCTTAAACTCGAAATTTATAGACGTTTCTACGAAACTAATTCTTCAAATCGCATCCAGACGTAATAAGCTCATAAAAGTTGGCGATGGGCGCCGTTTGCAGAATGCAGCGGTATGCGTCGTAGCGGGTCGCGTCCAGGGAAATGCTGAAGGAAGTCGGCTGCGGGAGCGCTACACCTCCGCCGGGGGACGGCGGGGGAGCAAACAGTCGGCAGATCGACGCGAACGAAGGCGGCGGTGGCGGCGGCGGTGGTGGCGGCGGCGGGAGCGGCGGGGGCGGCTCCTCGGAGGGTGTCCTCGGTTGCGGAGGCTGCGGAAGGGAGATCGCCGAACGCTGGTATCTAAGGGCGGCCGATCGCGCATGGCACTGCGGCTGCCTGCGCTGCTGTCACTGTCGGGTCCCCCTGGCCGCCGAGCTCACCTGCTTCGCCAGGGACGGCAACATCTACTGCAAGGAAGATTACTATAGGTTAGCATGCGAAATCACGTCCGAAAGAAAGATTATTTTGCTGGAAGATATAAAAGAGATTTTTGAAAAATAAAATCAATTTTAAAAAATCTGGGAATTTTTATATTTTATTTATACAGTTATTAATTAATTTGAAAAATTAATATAAATAAATAAATAAAAATAAATACAAAATATTAACAAATCAAAATTCCCCAAAGATTTTTAGTATTGAAAAATTAACATTGAAATTTTATAATCGGAAAAGTTTAATAATTTTTAGGGACATAGAGATTTTGGAAAAAGGCCAAAAGTATATAACTCAAATAATTGTGAATAAATAAATAAATAAATATCATGTGGAATAATGCACGCGCGGATTTACGCGATGACGTTCGGTATTTCAGGACGAGGGTAGAATGAAAGGCTGAGAAGCGAGTTCGTTAGAGCGAACAGGGGAGGAATTCAACAGCCGTCGTCCATGCAATATGCAACAACGCGAGCCCTTTGTTTCCGTCTACGCGAATGGTGAACGGTCCGCTTCGATCGCTTACGAAATTCACTTCTCAAGCGGAATTCGCATAATACATTCGCAAACACTCGCACAAATCGGATAATGCATTATTAAATTCCCAAACACGTACACATATATCTTGTTCCTCAGTGATTTCTCTGATTTAAATTATAGCAAAAATTTGAGAAAATTATAAAGGAAAATGTCTCAATTTTTAATTATAGTTAAATTGTCATTAGATTGATATAATTGATAGAGGTTGATATTAATTTAACACGTTTAGAATTTTTAATTTTTCGGAAAGATTTTGATAAAATGCATGCATTTTTTTAACTATTGGAATTTTTATTCGCAGATTATTTCTGATTTAAATTTCGGCAAAAATTTAAGAAAAGATGACAAAAGATACTTCCAGTTTTTAAGCCCAATTAAATTGTCATTAGATTGATGTAGCAGTGTAAGAAGCTGATATTAATTTTATTTATGTTTGGAATTTTCAATTTTTGGGACATTGAAAGACGACACATGTACATCTTTTAACTAGTGGATTTTCTGATCGCAGATTATTCGCGGTGTCGCGATGCTCGCGATGTCGGGCCGGCATCTCCGCTTCGGAGCTCGTGATGCGGGCGCGCGATCTGGTGTATCATGTGGCGTGTTTTACTTGCGCCTCGTGCGGCACCCCACTGAACAAAGGCGACCATTTCGGTCAGCGGGACGGACTCGTGTATTGTAGGTAGGTGAGAAACAGGAGCGTCTGATCATTACTATCCTTCAAAGGCCGCGTCTCTCCTTGTTATCAACGAGTTCGATGACGAGGTTGACAGGAGCACGAGGCGCTTTTGTCGCGCCGAGTCGTTCCTTCCTCTCTCCCATCCCGTCCGTGCTAATGACAGTCGTCGAGTCGCTTAATGACAGTCATTGGAATGGATGGATTCGAGTCTCGGGTTCCGAGAAGACAATTGTGACGGCAGATACCGTGGGATGCGAGAATAAGAGATCGGCGAAAGGGGAAAAAAATGTGTCACGATTTAAGGAAATTAAAGAGAGATCGAGAGAGATATAATACTTATAAAATTAAGCGGCGCAAACAAATGATAAAATAGTCGTGGATATAAACATAGAGTGTTAAGAGAACGAAACGCATCGTCGAATGTTGGGACCCACGGAATCTAACGTTCACGCGAGTCGAACTCGTTCATCGATACTCGACGTATAACGCGGAGGTCAGGTCGTCTATCGACTACTTGACAGAGAGCTTGACGACTGACAACTGCAACGTCGCTCCCAAGACCACACTACGAGCTGCTGTGCTGCGCCGGGGATTACGGGGGTGCTGCCGGCGGCATCGAGGACCTCGGCTCGCCGGGGGTGTCGCCGCTTCCGGCGTACTACGAGCAGAGCCCGATAGCCACTTCCGGGACCGTGCAGAAGGGCCGGCCGCGGAAGCGGAAGCTGTCGGAGGTCGCCGGTTCCGAGCTCCCCGTCACAATGAGACTGGCCGCTGGCGCGCTCGGTGAGTCAAGCCAATGTATGTTCCCGCGATCTTGTACGATCGTGAACGATTTTCTTGCCACTGTTTTCCTCCTCTTCTGATAAGACGGGTTCCCAGACTCCTAGACATCCGCTTTTCGTACTCCCGGAAAGTGCAAACAAGACCACCCGCTTCTTTCTTTCGTTTGTTCACGCTTTCTCTCCGTCCCATGCTACAGCAAACGAGTTAATCGGCGGAATTGCATTATTTACCGAGTTATGAAGAGAGGGAGACGTAATGGCGTTCTCCTTTGCGCAAATATTTGCTCGAGCCCTCAAGAATCGCAGATGTTATTTCATTTCGTCCGCGATTATTCGGCTCGTTAACTGGAGCATTCGACATGCAGCCAGCGGGATTCTTTGATGAATTCTCGCGCGCTACGCACATGTTTTATTCCCTCAGTGATTTAATATGCGTGTCCTTAGTATGTCAAATATCATCGTCTCAAGGAGGTCGCATCCTATGTTTTAATTTTTTTGTTTTCATCCTGCATTTTAATTTTTCCGGTATTTTAATTTTATTCTGTATCTTAATTTTCCCTGTACTTTAAATTTTTCCTGTATTTTAAATTCATCCTGTATTTATAAATTTATCCTGTATTTTAAATTTATCCTGTGTTTTAATTTTTTCTATATTTCAAATTTACCCTGTATCTTAATTTTTCCTGTATTTTAATTTTTCCTGCATTTTAAATTTATCCTGTATCTTAATTTTTCTTTTTAATTGTCTTACCCTTTAAGGTGAATAATAAACAAGAGTTGCTGCATCGTTCGATAAAAATTGCAGATAATTTTAAGATCATAGCACGAGGATACTTTCCCAGAACAGATTCATATAAATCGTAAAGTCAATCGTCGCGACTTTGACGGCACAACCCGCGGCCGCTTAGTCGAGGAAAATCGGCGACACGACGATCTCACCGAGCTTATGTTCGCTCGGCTTGTGTCATTTGTCAACTGGCACCCTCATATCGTATCATCTCGATGCGATTCCCGCCGGTTTTACGATCGTTTCGGCGTGGACGCGAGCCAAAGAGATGGCCGCAAACCGGTACACGCGCGATTCCCAGTTATTTTATAATCGACGAGGGCGAGGATCATTCTACCCGTAGACTACCGGCCGGAATTTACGACCAACAGCCATAAAATTGTCCACCATGTCCTGCGTGCGCAGCTTCGGGTGCGGCTGGGAACGTTCGGTCTCAAGAGAAAGATCTCTCCCTCCTTCTCTCTCTCGGTTTTATTATCTTTATATATAATTGGGACAGTTTTTGCGCCAAAGGGAGACACGCCGACGAGATGAGAGCTATTCCGCGACTGAGAGTGAGACTGATGACAGAGACACTCCCGTTCTCCAACACACAAATAGAAAAATAATACTCTGATTGTCTTCAACTTTTGATGATAAATTTTATAAAATCAAAGAAGACAAAATGAAGATAAATTATTCTTGAATAAATTTTGAAAAGAAACATATATATTCTTTATACATTTTTCATATTTAATATAAGTTCGATTTGCTCAACATGACACGATAAAATCAAATAGTTATATTAAATATTTCAATCGATATAGCATCTCTTGTAACGATGAAGAAAGGATTTGCTTATTCTCTCCCGATAAAATATATTTGACATTTCTTTGTCTTAAAATCAGAGCCTCAGGAAGATGTCCTTCCTCGTGAGGGAAGGTCGACACGAATCCTGAGAAGTCCCCGACATCAGAGATCGGGGGAAGAGAGGGTGGGCGGATTTAGCGGTTTAAGAATGAGATTACAATTTGTCAGGGCGAGTTAGAAGCCAAAATTGCCGAGGCTGAGGACTACAGGCTTCTCGACGAAGAAACAAGAGTGTGCGATAGAGAGAAAGAGGGGTCCCCGCTGCCGCACAGACACGGCAAGAAACTCACAGGCGGCATTATAGTGCTCCGACCGGCCATTCTGCTGGCGGTGGCCACGCATTGGCCGCAGCAGCATTCTTTTCCGGGCAGATCGGCCAATCGATGCATCTCCCGGTGCCGATACCTATCTGTCACTGTCCGCCGGGGCCCGTTCCTCTTTCTGCCGGAGACAGAAAGGCCCCGCCGAGAATCGGAAGGACCGCGCCGGAAAAATTCTAATTCCGATTCGATTCGATTCGCGATTCACGCCGAGAGAGAGAGAAGCCTGTCAAGCCTAGCTTTTTTTGGAAACGATTGGATTGGTTTTAAATTTTTTCACCTTTTCCTGGATGGTTTGTTTTATAAGCCGAGGATATATTTTCGAAAGAGCATGAAAAAATATTTATCGCGTCGAGTCTTCGATTCTATGTAGAAGAAGAAGCGCTCTTAATTGATCAATTAGCGGTTATATCACCGTGTACGAATTTATCTGAATTATGGGGAAGGAAAATAAAAAAAAAAAGTAAAAGAAACCGATCGCAGGAAAGAGGACGTGCGTTGTGTGCGCAGTTGCGGTTGTTGCACGCCGGCGGAGCGAAGGAACGTATCCAATAAATAAGACGACGAGGGTAACCATTGAATTCAATCGGAAGAAGAACGGGTTCCAGTCGACGAACGGGGTGGACGAGGGGGAGAGGGCGCGAGAAGGGATCCCAGAAGTAAATCCCCGAGCACGTATGCGCCATTACTGTTTATTGTTCCGAACTTCCATTCCCAACGAACCGCGATTCGCCGGTTCGCCAAAAGGGAGAAGGAGAGAAAGAAATATCGCGAATGGGGGCGAGAGAGAAGAGGCGAGATAGAAAAACCGTTTTCGCGAGTGACCGCAGTGTCTTTGGAATCTTTTCTTGTCGAGGTAAACGACACCGATTTCGTTCATTTCCTTTTTTCCCCGGAGGTGATCGGGAAAGCACAGTTATGTTCGCGAGATCGAAAAGATCGGAGAGAGATCGCGCGCTACGAAAAGAAGAGGTCGACTTCTCAAGTTCCTGGAAATTAAAATTAAAATTCTTTTTCAACCGCCCATTCAATCGATACATTGAACGTTAAAGAAGACGAAATATACAGATAACGGGGGATTTTTATATTTATGGATGGAAAGAGTATTCATTAAAATAAACGATTTGCATTCAATAATCGAAAAATTCCAGGTTTTTAAAATATAATCCCAAAAATTTTTAAATTCCAAGAGTTTCAATGATTTTTAGGTTTCATGTTTTAAAAATCCAGATCTTAAAAGCTTGTGATAATCGTGAAGCTTACGTCATCCAGCATCTTGTTGTCTGTTACGTGTCGAACGATCTCGCGGTAGAAATCTCGAGGAAATATGTGAGATGATCTAACGCGAGTAAAAGACATTTTCTAGTGGATGTCGCGATTGCAGAACTGCTGCATCCCACGGAACTATCCTCGTCGATGGAATCGCTGACCGCTTACGACGCATCCGTGGGTTCTCCTGGACCGGTGCACCAGAGCCAGCGTACGAAGCGTATGCGCACCAGTTTCAAGCATCATCAATTGCGAACCATGAAGAATTATTTCGCGATAAATCAAAACCCGGATGCTAAGGATCTCAAGCAGCTCGCGCAGAAGACCGGCCTGTCCAAGAGAGTCCTCCAGGTAAATAATTTTCCTTTCAATTTACATTTCGCAAAATGGAATAGCTAAGAAAGTAATTTAGCATCTCTGACGTTCCGTTTCTTCTTTTTACTGACAATTTTTCTCTCGTGTGATGAAACTAATCAACGTCGTCTTTGATTTTACATAATAAATTACTCGTCTCTTCGCTAATTCTTGACGAATGATTATTCAATAATTAACAGTTCGAGTCTCTCTTCGATTTTTCATTGTTCAGGTGTGGTTTCAAAACGCACGAGCGAAATGGCGACGGAATCTGATGCGACAGGATGGCAGCAACGCCGGCAGCAACGTCGGCTGTTCCGGGACGCCGGTGTCATCCAGCACCGGCAATTCTCCCAACGTCGGCCCGGCCGCCAGCATCCTCGGCGACAGTAACAGCATGCCCTCGACTTCCATGGAGGAGCTGCACGCCCTTCATCATCTGCACTCGGGCGTCTCCTCTCAGGTCTCCTTCTCCGACCTGTACTGACGACAGCTTGAAATGGACGAGGACACTTACAGCAGTCTCTCCAGCCATCTCGGATGAGGGATTATCGCGCTTCCTCGAAAATCGACCGAAGAGCGAATGACACGTGCATCCATCATAGTTTTCTTTTTTTTTTTTTAAGATCTCGCCGATGAACGGTGGCTGACTGTTGATGACGTATTGTGACAGCGATCTGAATAGTTTAACGTGTTCCTTACTGTTTTTGAAAACAGTTGTCTGAAATTTCGCGAAGGCCGATGTTTTGTGTGAAATAAACTTTGCGTGAAATCGATTAAACATTCGGCTTTTTCTCCGAGATTTACAGAGGGACATGTCACTGGACTTGATGAAGAAAAAGTGACTCGCTGGAGGACTTTTCCAAACAGCCTAATCTGGTAGAGACGATTATGTTTAAGTAATCAGTGATAATAATCATAGTTCCACGCACATCCGAATTACCAAAGATTACTAGACGAAGATAGTAAGAGCGTAATCTAGGTACGTATGCAAAAAGAGAGTGTATCGTTAGCGATTAATCGATAATTATTGACGAAGCCTCGACATGCGGGGGGTGTTCCAGAAAGATGTGTACTATTGACAACATATTTCAGCATTTCTAAACATCTCACATTACCAATCTCACGTACTCCAAGAGAAATTGAAAATTTTTAGAGAACAAGAAAAATAAAAAGATCCCTTACGAAGATCCGAATATTTTTAAAATACTTGCAAATATATTTCTAGCAATCTATCAGTGTTTTTGGGAAAGCTCTTTGTTTGCGTATTATTTAAATTGTATGATACACACAACACGAAATATATATTAAAGATTCAGATCTATTAAATATGATTATTGGGTATGATTATTTGAGACACACGCGAACAGCTCACCCATGTGGACGACATACATGTGCAATCACGTAGCGAAATTATTTAATTTGTCCTCGTTGATTCTTCACGAAACTTTGTACGCCACTAATTTCTTTATCGGCTTCGTGTTGTGTCGATCGGCCAAAGTTTATTAAATATATATTAAATACGCGATTATGACTACGCATAATGTGTCGATAATGATTCCTATATTAAATATGAAATAAAGTAAAGTTGGAAATATAGTTTTGGAATTTTATCATTGCTAAAAGATGGAGATCGCAGGCAAGGATTTGGATCTGATAATCGAATCATCAAATCATACGAAGCTCGATAAAAATTTAGACGAGTCTGCGATTTTTATATTTAAATGTATCAAAGTTTTTGAAATGAAAAACGGCGTTCCTCTGCTCGTGCCAAAACGTAGCTAAGAAAGAAATTTTTTAACGAGCTGCTGGAATTCAAAGGGCATGATATATTTTTGCAAAAACATGGTTTCCGAATTTTCGCGAATTATTGGGAGAGATTCTGATCGATCCTTTCGCGCGTTATATATTCTTGCATTCGTGTTCCCTCTCAAATTGTCACCTTTGAATTCGAGCAGTCGAGGCGCACGCACACAAATACAACACAATACATGTGTTTGACGCGAACATGTATACACGATTGCGAATAAGGGCCAGATCGTTGCGAATTCGCGAAGCTTAGTTAAATTGAACTCTCAAGCATATATAAAATGCCATAGGAAACTATATTGTAGATTTAATATTTTTCCAATATCAAAATATTTGAAATCTTGGAAATATTGGAGGATCATCTATTTTCACAAAGTCTTCAAGTCAACGACGCTAAATTTTCCAGTCCTTTCACTTAATTTCTATTCGACCATTGATAAAAGATAAGCTTTTATAAACTAATCAATTCTTTAAATCTAAAATGAAGGGCTGAGTAATACGTGAGGTTTTACGAAAATTTGAAATGTAGTGTGTGAATATCATGGCAATGCAACTCTATCAATCATGTAAAAAAAAATTAAATTAATAAGTCGAGAGAGATTACAGGATGTCTTCAAACATTACAGAAGACACGCGTTGATTTTTTTAAATTTATAAACCAATCCGTTTATCACAATTACTTTTGTCACTTGGAATAAGTGTAAATCATAAAATATTTTACAAGCACCTTTTATCTTGTCACGTGATGTCCGACAGAGAAAAGGAATCGGATAGGTCGCACGTTAGGTATATGTAGCATAGCGATGATTAAGTGTACATGTTAAAGAGCGAAGCAATTATTTCCATCTCTATAGGCAAATTAATGTGCTACATTCGAGTTGCAACTATTATCGCATAATAAATAGTTACGTACGTCTCTCGACTCGGACGCAACTCTTGCTCTCCTCTCTAATTCATCACTTTCTCCGACGACTAGATCACGAAAAGATAAGTTGTAATTTTTAAGACAAAAGAGGTAAGTTCAAAGTTGTTCTAATCAAGCTAAAATCTGATCGGGACTTTTGCGAATTTTAATATTACTTTAATCTTGGCACTAAAAAATTCCCAAATGCTTATGACTCTTAAAATTTAATTTGGATTTATTAAATTTTATATTTGTGGATCGAATATGTGTGTCAATCGTAAATGTCGTAAGTCCTTAGATTCGCGAATTTCGCGTTAACATGTAAAATTTCTTCATTTAAAATCGAAGAAATTCAACCTAACGACATCCTCCATCACCGTGCACCATCTTCCGAATAGACTTGGACCGAATCTTCTCGCCACACACACTCGCTGCTCTTTCACGAGGCGCAAGTGCGAGTCGTAATTAGCATCAAATTAGGTATTTAAGGATTTCACGTTCGTGCGTTCGAGTTAGAGGCGGATAAGCCGAAAGGAAGATACGACGACGATGATGACGAAGAGAAGGAAGAAGAAGCAGGAATAGGAGGAAAAGTTGGCAGGAGGAAGAGAGAGCGAGGGTTCTACTTAGGGGTTATACCAACATAGCGAGTCCTCGTGTAAATTGTAGGCCTCTCGAGTCGTATAAGTGCACCGCATGCCGTATATATTTTGTCGGCGCTCATATAAGTTAATTTTCAATCTATATGCGGGTCCTCTCCCTCTCTCTTTCTCTCTCTCTCTCTCTCTCGGATGGCGCGCGGCGACTCATCAACGAAATGAAGAAATTGAGACTCTCGTTAATATTTAATGAGCAGGCGCTCGCGCGCGCGAGCGCGGATATACAATGGCCGTCGGTCCCCCGGGCCCCGACGGGCCCCGAAATATCACCTCCCCGCATTTACATGCGCACACTCGCGTGGACTCGACTCGCAAGAGAGTCGGACGAAGTAAGAAGTTTCGGGCCGTGTATTCGTGTGTATTTTCTCCGGCGAGGAGAGGACCCTCTCTTGCGGGGCCGCGCGGCAGGTGCGCGCGGAGGCCCGTTTCTCCTTTTTTTGGCACGAAATATAAGCGATTGGCGTCCGTGTCTTCCGATTCTCCGCCGATCCGCCTTTGGCTTTGTTCGAAATGAGTATCTCGTTGTGTTTCCTTCTCGTTGACGGCAGAGATAACTCGCACGGTCGATGCATTCGGCAGGAATCGCGCGGATAAATATTATAAATATTTCCCTTGTACTTTAATAAAATAAATATACTGTTATTTTGTTAAAATACATGGGGGAATTTTTTAAATATTTTAATGTTTTAATATTTTATTTACTTTTCGAAATGTTCTAAAGATGTAATATAATTTTAGATTATGCAATCATATTTTCGAATTGAAAGATTCAACCATCAAATCAAGATATCAAAAATTATATTTTCTGTATATTTATTCTTACATTTAACAAATTGCATGATCGATTAATCATTTACAAGCATTTGTCAGCTTTCATTTAACCTTGTTCATTTAACCTGGCTGAAAGTAACAGGTTGTCACAAAATTCGCAGACTGTCAGGAGACAGGCACATGACCAATCGAATTTTACGTTAATTAGCTAAGCATCGTTAAGTCACACGCAAGATCGTTCAGATGTTACGAATAATGAAAGATGCAACGAAAAATATCCAAATAATATCGGCAAAGAAATGTTTTGATTGAATTAGATATGTATCTAAGAAAATTTTAATATTTTCAAAACATTTCTTTTACAAATTTTGAACTAAAAAAAAATATTTAAAAAATGTTAACTTTCTTTAAATTAATTTTACAAAATCTTCCAAATCAAAAATGATGCAAATTGAAAGTTATTTCTAAAGGAAATATAAAATTCTTTTTAGACGAAACCGAATATCCGAATTAGATGTCAACTTTCAGCAAATTATTCGCGTCCCAATTTTCTAGGATTTTGAAACTAGTGTTAAACTACTGAAAATGATCCGATGACAAAAAATGTCGCACCCGGAGGGAAGCATCGTGTTGCTGCTCGATAAAAACTACGCCGATAAAAAACACGTCTCCTGGATGAAGGACGATTGGGAGGAACTATGCGGCGGTCATCGAAAGGTACCCGAGTGGCTCAAAAAGTGGACCAATTTTCGGTAATTTGTACACGATGGCTCGTTGGATGTGCACGCAGGATAGCCCGTTGGTCAGGAAAGGCATCCCTCCGGTTTCTCCTCAACCCTTTCCTCTCGTCAACGAGAGATTGGCGAGCGTACAAACGTACAAACGTTCGAAGGAGAAGTGCAAGAAGAAAGAAGGATTGTCTCGGGAAGAAGACGAAGGACAGGACGCGAAGGGGAGGATCGCGCGAGTCTATTTTTGAGGGAAGAGGAAGGCTTTGAACGAGCCTGGTCGATAGTCTTTTGTTCTGTCAAATGTCAAACGCGCCTGCTCCACGAGGGACTGAGGAGAGAAAGAGAAAGGTAAAGGGAGATAAGTGCACAAGAGACGAGACTAGAGAAGTTTTTATTGGGGTGGTTGCGAAAGCGGTAAGACCGGCAGACGCGTTCATCTTGAGCTGGTATATACAGGGTGTTTGGCTAAACGAGAGTGCAAGTGAGAGAAAATAATCGTTCGGAAGGAACTTGGAACTCTTTCAGAAAAATTTTCAATTATGAACTTCGAGATTAATAAAATTAAAAATATCAAAGATTCTCATCTCATCAAAAAATCACAGGTAACGATTTAGCGGGATTTTATCGAAAAGCTCGCGTTAATTACGGTTAACATCGCACACGCAAAAAAAAAATACATTCAAGTGTACCTCGTATAATAAGAACTAGTTATCTGTTGAGCGCCAGTTGAAATCGCAGAAGAAGGATATTTCCTTTTTTCCGCTTTTCGTTTTTCCATTCGCTAACGATAAGACCGCTAGACGCAGCAGATGGCCGCCGAGAGGGTGACAGAAGCACGCGTTACCAATGTATGTCGGTGCGCAAGAAAATGTCGGTACCTTCTTGTTTTGGTGCCGCGACCGCTGGACCCACCAGCGGAGGCCCTCTGATGCCGCGGCAACGCGGACATGTTCCTTTTGCTCATAAAGTCGGGAAAAAGTTGGGCGCGTTGACCCGGCGATCGCCGTTACGTTCAGCGGCCTCTTGCTCTCCCAGAATGATCGATGCAAGACAAGATCCAGTCGCGATGATTCGACAGTCGAATTACTCAAATTTTTTATCGGCGTTTCGAATCATCAATTTTGAAAGATTTACCGAGTTTAAACAGAATTATAGATTCGTTGTTATAAAATAATACGGTTATAAAATTAAAAAAAAAATAGAGAAAGAGAGAGATTTGGTGTCATCTGAATATTTCGCAGCGAAAAGATTGACAATTTTTGATGATTGAATAATAGAATGTAACGACCAACGTGATAGCTCGATGATTATTATTATATGCATTGAAGAGGAAGCACGGCAGAGATTTAATGGATATTCGTAACGAATATTTTATGTACATATGCGTAATATGCCTGCGTCGGAGCACTCGCTATGAATATGCATAGCACTTTACGTTCTTGTAATTCGCGGCCTCCTCGCAGAGCATGCTTAATGGACGTTCATGGAGGATCTATTCCGACAAGATCTATTCCGACCCGTCGAAGGGATGGGCAACGTCATTCCATCCTGTTTCTTTGCCTTTCAAAGTGCAAAAGAGAATATTTTTTTTCTTTTTTTACATTTGATCTTCTTTTTTCTCTCTCTTTCTGCTTCGGAATACAAATTATCGTCCAACTACTTATAATTCAAATCGCCATTTTATTTCGATGATTAATTAGGAGCGCGGTTTACATTTAAATATCGATGTACGAAATGCGTCATTATTGCTGCCTCGCTTGTTAACATAACGATGGAATTGATCTTTTATTAATAAAAATTTAATTGGAAATCCTACAAAATATATCATATACGATACGATAAAAGTTATTAAATGTTACAAGTAAATCTAGTATCATTTATTAAAATCATTTTAATAAATCATTTTTAAAATCATTTTAATATTTTTTTTATTAATTTCAAAACTTTAGAAAAAGTAATATTTTTTTCACTATCAAATATAAATCCGTTTAGATAAAAGCGTGATCTATTATTTACCAATATATTTAAAAGTTAATTTATTAAATTTTTTCTAATTATTTGTAATCCAAAAAGCTACTGTAACGTAATCATATAGACTGCTGTTGATGCGATAGTCGAAAAAAAAAGAAAGAATAATTTTCTTTACAACGTAGAATCTTAGACACCCTCTTTCAATTCCTAAACTATCAAACATGAATGAATAAAATTAAAATTTACTAGTTTGCATTAAGAGAGTATACTATTCGATAGAAGTATACCATTTATTTTTTTATAGAGAAAGAGAAGGAGAGAGAAGGAGCCTTCTGAAGGGACAATCGTGGCAGATGCTGTTGCATATAGGGAACAGAAAAGGAACGAAAGATGGCCGCGGCTACCCGGCATTGTCTACCAGAGACTTCGTTGTAAATAATGCCTCTCCATGGCGGCGAACCAGAAGGTCGGAGAGTTGGCAAAGTGTACGGTCTGGTTGGCCCCTCGCCATCTCACTCTCTTCCTTTTCCTCCCTCTCACCCTGCGCATCTTTCTTCTGTCTCTCCTCGTGTGCCTCTTTCCTTCGCGCGGTCTCCTCTCTTCCCTCTTACCCCATCCCTATCTCTCTCTCTGCAGAACCTGTCGCGCATAAACTGATTCGATCCCGATGTCTCCTCGCGCGAGATTCCCATTGGCCACCGTATAGTCACGCCGCTCGCTTTGTTTGCTTTGTCGCTCGCCTTTCTTCCCCGTTTCCCTCTTCTCTACGCCCTACAGGACCAAGATAACCCTTTTTCTCCGGGTTCCCCAGAGATCCCAAATATTCACTAAAGTTACGTGATCGAACGGTTTCGTCGGCCGTGTAAATCCTCGTCGAGAGAATTGTC